AAAGAAAGAAAGAAAGAAAGAAAGAAAGAAAGAAAGAAAGAAAGAAAAAGAAAGAAAGAAAGAAAGAAAGAAAGAAAGGAGGGAGGAAGGAATAGAAAGAAAAAAGAAAGAGAAAAGAAAGGAAGAAAGGAAGGAAGGAAGGAAGGAGAGAAGGAAAGAAGAAAAAGATGGACAGACAGACAAAGTGAATCCATGGGGAAGCCAGATCCACTTAACATCTGTGTGACTAGCTTAACGACTGCAGGGATTCCCTTAACAACGGTGGCCAGAAATGTTGTAAAATGGGGCAGAGCTCACTGAACGAATGTCTCACTTAACAAGAGAAATTTGGGGGTCAATTGTGGCCATACGTCAAGGACTCCCCGTACTGAATTCAGCTCTCTCCGCCCCTTCCAAAGCACAGTGGCATATATCACGACAGTCACACGAACAGGACGACTGAGTATCTCCACAGACAGTAAGCTGCGACGGTCATAAATATGAACCCTTGGCCAAGCGTCTGAATTTGGATCACATGACCACGGGGATGCTGCAATGGGCGTGAGTGTAAAAAACAGTCATTAATGCCGCAGTGATTTTGAAGAGTCACTAAACGAACAGCTGTAAGTTGAAGACTAAACCAAAGCTTCATATTTTTTTCCACCTCAAGCACAAAGTCCAGAAGTGGTTTCCTAGTAGAAACCAAAGTAATTGTGTGTGTTTTTTATTTCTTTAATCAAAGCAGTCAATTTAGCCATCTCTGCTATAACTCCGTTCACTTTTGCAGCCATTCCTCCACTGTGGAAATCAAACTGTTGGAAGAGTGTTTTTTTTTTTAAAAAAAAAAACAAATTTTATTAATTTTACAATTAAAAAACAAATGAACAACACATACAGGAATAGAAAAACGAGAAAAGAGCAAAGAAAAAAGAAAGAAAAGCAAAAAAGAAAGGAGAAAGAAAGAAAAAGAAAGAAAAAACGAACGCTTCAAAACACGGGAGAGAGAGTTAGTTCTAAATGCCGTTGTCATCCTTGCTGTCCCTCAATGGTTTGTCTCTCTCTGAAAAGTTTTCCCAGAAAGTTTTCGCTGTGACTTCAAACCCTTGAGGAGTAGCGGTCATATCGCAAGGGTTTCTCCAGAAAGACCGGAGTTTTTGCTCTTTTCCTGCAGTCCTGGCTGCGGGCGTGGGACTGTTGTCATTTGCACAAAAGCTGCTTTTCACTTGGAAAGAGGTCGCCCCAATAGAGTACTTAAAAACAAAACAAAAATAAAGAAAGGTCTATTGTGGAACGAAAAAAAGTCGCAAGCTCCAAAGGGGTATTGAATCGTTCACTTTGGAAAGACACAAAGCGAGTCGCTTTCAAAGGTTATCAGGATTCTGTTTTGGGTGAGTCACTCTTTTCGCCCTACAAGGTTGATGGCTGAATGCGACATATTTTGAAGCAGTGATGGCGATGGGATGGAATAGAAAATTGGAATGGAATGGAATAGAACAGAATTAGAATCGAATTAGAATAGAGTAGAATATTGGATGGAATGAAGAATAGAACAGAACAGAATAGAAAATAGAGAATAGAAATAGAATTGAATATAGAATTGAATATAGAACAGAATAACAGATTAAGAAGAGACTTTGGAGGTCTTCTAGTCCACCCCGCTGCTCAGGCAGGAAACCCTATACCATCTCAGACAAATGGCTGTCCAATCTCGTCGTAAAAGCTTCCACTGTTGGAGCATGCATAACCTCTCGTGGCAAGTTGTTCCACTGGCTAATTGTTCTCACTGTCAGAAAAATTCTCCTTATTTCTGGGTTGCTTCTCTCCTTGATTAGTTTCCACCCGTTGTTTCTTGTCTTGCCTTCAGGTGCTTTGGAAAATGAGTGAACCCCCACTTCTTTGGGGCAGATACTAGAACAGTGCTATCATGTTACCCTTTTCATAATACACCGAGGCATAGTTTAGCAAAGTAGACTTTAGCCATGTTGGTGGGACTCATCACTAGTCCACAAGATGAGGTGGATTGGTTGCTTTTGTGGTGTGGAGACAATAACTTGGTCCTCAACACCAATAAGACCAAGGAGCTGATAGTGGACTATAGAAGGAACAGATCAGACCTCCAGCCCTGGCTTATCAATGGAGACCAAGTAGAGCAAGTGGCCAGTTTTAAGTTTCTGGGTGTTATCCTAAAAGAGGACCTGACCTGGGGGGGCTCACATTGCAGCCCTGGTCAAAAGGGCCCAGCAGAGATGATACTACCTGACATTTCTCAGGAAACAACAACTGGATGGAAAACTGCTGGTGACCTTCTACTGCTGCACCAGAGAGAGTATCTTAACTTCCTGCACACCTGTGTAGGCTTTGCCAATTGCACAGGGGCAGATAGGTCAGCACTTTAGAGGGTTAACATCATTGCCCAGAGGATCATGGGTTGCCCTCTCCCCTCTTTGGAAGAGCTTTACAGCTCCCGCTGCCTTAAGAAAGTTCAAAACATTCTCAAAGATCCATCTCATCCTGGGAAACCTTTTTTTTTGAACTATTATCACCTGGTAGACAGTGCAGGATAATAAAAAAAAGGGCAAATAGACTGAAAAACAGCTTCTACCCCAGGGCAGTAGCTCTGTTGAATTCTGCTGTATGGTGCAGTTATTGGTGCGGTGTCGTGGGTTTCCGGTTCAATGTGTGAAGGGTGAAGGATGTGTGTTTGTGTTTATGTTCATGGTCATGATGTGCAACTGAAGATGGTGTCTGATTTCGTTGTACGAGGTGCAAGGACAATAAAGTAAACTAAACTAAACTATAAACCAGCCCCCACATCTGAGGTGAAATCAGAAAACTGGGTCAACTAAGTACCCATAGATCAGGGGTCCCCAAACTTGGCAACTTGAAGACTTGTGGACTTCAACTCCCAGGATTCTCCAGCTAGCATAGCTTTAAGTCTTAAAGTTGCCAGGTTTGGGGACCTCTGATAGATCATAAGAGGCACTTAGAGGCAATTTATGTTATCCTTTTTTTTTATGCCAAACACAGGCAGTCTTTGATTCACGCCTACAACTGAGCCCAAAATTTCTTTTCCTAAGCGAGACAATTGTTCAGTGAGTTCTGCCTCATTTTATGACCTTCCTTGCCCCAGTTGTTAAGTGAATCACTGCAATTGATATGTTAGTAACCTGGTTGTTAAGTGAATCTGGCTCTCCCCCCCCCCCCCCCCCCCCCTCGTCTCAAAAAGGTCACAAAAGTTGATCAAATGACCTTGGGACGCAGTTAACGATTCAGAAATACGAAGCCGTTGCCCATGATCCGAATGTTGATCACATGACTATGGGAACGCTGCAAAGGTCGTCACCGTGAAAACTGGTCACAGGTCACTTTTTTTGCAGGGCTGTCGTAAGTCGAGGACTACCTATATTGGAAATTCACAACCAATTGTAGCATTTTTTTTCAGGCGGTTTTTCTGGCATATCGCTGGCTAGCCTGGAAGACTCCCTCAATTGTTGGGCAGTAACCTAATCGGAACAATTTCCACCGCCCTGTAAGCAGAACCATTGCAAAGAGAAACCAAACCAGTTCTCCCTGAAAGGCCTGTTGCCAAATTACAACCCCTTGCAAATGATGCCGTGAGGATCCAAAGGGTGGCATCTGGTGCCCGCCAATGCCGGATTCCTTCCCCGTCAAGCTCTCTTCAATGCCAAACCTGCCACGATGACTTGCTTGTTTCTCAGGGACGTGCCACTTGCCATCCCATCTAATGAGGTTGTTATCTGCTCTTTTTGGGGAGAGAAAATGGAAATATTCGGTGGAACCGAACCTATGTGTAAGTCCTCGACTTACAATCGTTCGTTTAGTGACCGCACAAAGTCACGACGGCACTGAAAAAAGGGACTGACCATTTTTTGCGCGACTATTGCAGCGGGCCCATGGTCACGTGGTCACAATTCAGACTTCTGACAACTGACCCGTACTTATGACAGGATGCAGTGTCCTGGGGTCATGTGATCCCCCTTTTGTGACTTTCTGACACGCAAAGTCAATGGGGGGAAAAGCCAGATTCGCTTAAGGGCTGTGGTACTAATTTAACAACTGCAGTGATTCACACTTAACAACCGTGGCAAGCAACGTAAAAGTCACTAAACTGTCTCACTTAGCATTGGAAATGTTGGGCTTATTTGTGGTAATAAAACAAGGACTACTTGTAGTATTAAAATCAAGGCAACCTGGATTAGAATAGAATTAGAATTATAATAGAAATAGAATAGAGAATAGAATAAGAATAGAACAGAAACAGAATAGAAAGTAGAATAGAATATTGGAATGAAGAATAGAATAGAAAATAGAATAGAATATTGGAATAAAGAATAGAATAGAATAGAATAGAATAGAATAGAATAGAATAGAATAGAATAGAATAGAATAGAATAGAATAGAATAGAATAGAATTCTTTACTGGCCAAGTGTGATCAGACACAGAAGGAATTTGTCTTGGTGCAAATACTCTTAGTATACATAAAAGAAAAGATACATTTGTCAAGAGTCAAGAATCACCAGATACCACACTTAATGATAGCAATATGGTACAATAAGCAATCAAATCATACTAGGAAACAGTCAATATAAAAATATATAAAATCAAAGCAACCCACACTGAAACAAAACAGTTGAACATGGGCATGTATGGCTTTTCCTCACCTCCCTGAACCATTTATTATTAAATTTGTTTATTGTTCAATTTATATAGTGTCCTCGCCTCACAACCATTTGTTTAGGGAGCGTTCAAAGTTACAACTGCACTGGAAAAAAATGACTTATGACTATTTTTCACCCTTACGACCGTTGCAACATCCTTGTGGTCCCCTGATTATAATTTCGATGCCTGGCAAACTAACTCATACTTATGACGGGTGCAGTATCCTGGGGCGGGGCACACCATCCTCTTTTGTGACCGTCTGACCAGCCAAGTCAATGGGGAAAGTAGATTCATTTAACCACCTGTGTCACCAGTTTAACAGCCGCGGGGATTCGCTTAATAACTGTGGCAAGAAAGTTCGTGGAATGGGGGAAAAGCACACCGCTGTCTCGCTGAGCAACAGGCATTTTGGGATGAACTGTAGGCCGTAACACGAGGACTGCCTGCACCACCCATCTTGCAGAGTCTTGGGGAGTCCCTGGGCAGCTCCTTAGCAAATGAAGTTCTCCAAAGGAGGCTGACTTTGCAGGGAGGGAGGGAGGGGGAAGAAAGCCCCCTCCCAGTTATTTAATTTGTACTACATACCCCATCATCCACAGGCTGGGTTGTGCACAGACAGGGCAGGAGAGGAAACTCTCCCACTTCTTCCCCACTCCCTTTTGCAATAATCTTGCCCACCCCCTCTCCCCCCACGGCCAGAAGAGAGGTGAGGGCCCCCTTCCCTGTGAAGTCTCCCTCCCCACAATTTCAATGGACGATAAGGGGAGGGGCTTTGTCCTAGAGGGGAGGAGACTGGCCCAGGGAAGAGCCCCTTCCAGGCCTCCCTTCACAGGCAGGGGTGATGGGGGGGGAGAAGGGAGGGCTTCCAGTGAAGCCCCACCCCCACCCCATTTCAATGCAGAATGGGGGAGGGGGGCTTGTCCAAGAGGGGAGGGGAGACGCTCAGGGAAGAGCTCCTTTCAGTCCCCCTTGACAGGCAGGGGTGATAGGGTGGAGAAAGGAGGGAAGCCCCCCCACCCCACCCCATTTCAATGCAGATTAAGTGGGGCTTGATCCAAGAGGGAGGGAAGGGGGCAAAGAGACGCGGGGAAGACCCCTTCTAGTCCCCCCTTCACAGGCAGGGATGATGGGGGTGGAGAAAGGGCGGCTTCCAGTGAAGCCCCACCCCATTTAAATGCAGAATGGGGGCTTTGTCCAACAGGGGAGGGGTGGGGAATTGGCCCGAGGAAGACCCCCTTCCAGGGCCCCCTTGACAATGAGAGGTGATGGGGGTGGAGGAGGGGGGGGCTGGGTAGAAAAGCCCCCCCCCTCAGAGGGAGGGGTTCCCCCACGCCTTTCCGAGCCCCGGGAGGGGGAGAGAAAGGCGGGATCCCGACCTTCCCGCTCTCCCCAGGGAAGCCACGGAGACTCCGGGGACTTTTTTTCCCTCTCCCGCCGGGCCTACCTGCAGATCCCCGCCCGCCGACTCCAGGAAAAAGCGCGCCCGCTCCTCCTCGGCCCCGGTCACGGCCACGAACTCCCTCAACGCTTCTTCGCGATCCGCCATCTTGCCCGGTGCAACCGTCAAAGCGCTCCGGCCGCGCCGCAACTGGCCGCCAAAAGCGCCTCAACGCCGCTTCCGCCCGTCTTCGAAGGCCACTTCCGGCCCTCGCGCCCTTCCACAGGGGTCGCGCTCGGGCCCCTCCGAATGGAAACCTAAAAGCCGCGCGTGGAGGTTCCGGCCTGGGGTTTGAGATGGGGTGGGGGGCTGGGGTTGCGGAATGGGAGAGGTAGATGTGAGGGTACCCTTAGATTGACCGCCTTAATCTCAGCTATCTGAGGAGTCCCGGGTGCTCTGTGAGTTGGGGGGGAGGTTCTTGCAGGCGTTTCGTGACCCAACTAGGTAACATTATCAGTGCCAGATGTGATTGGGTTGTGCAGAGAGAAGGGGGAGGAGGAGAGGAGGGGGAGGGAGGGAGGGAGGAAGGAAGGAAGGAAAGAAGGACGGACTGTGGGGTCCTTGGTGCTCTCTGAGCTTGGTGGTTTTCTTGCAGACGTTTCATGACCCAACTAGGTAACATCATCAGTGCTTGAAGGTAGCGGAGTGGAATGGATGAGAAGAAAAAGGGGAGGAGGAAAAGGAGAGGGAGAAGGACTTTGGGGTCCTTGGTGGGCTCTCTGAGCTTGGTGGCTTTCTTTTCAGATGTTTTGTGACCTAACTAGGGAACATCATCTGTGCTAGAAGGGAGTGGGGTGTGCAGAGTGGAAGAGAATGGGGAGAAAAGGGAGGGGAGGCCTGTGGAGCCCTTTGTGTTCTCTGAGTTTGATTGTTTTCTTGCAGGCGTTTCGTGACCCAGCTAGGTAACGTCATTAGTGGTAAAAGAGAGTACGGTTGGTGGAGGAGGAGGAGGATAGTGAGGTCCTTAGTGCTCTATGAGCTTGGTTTTTTTTTCCTTGAGATGTTTCGTGACCCAACTAGGTAACAACATCAGTGTTAAAAGAGAGTGAGGCTTGCAGAGAAGAGGAGGGAGAAGAGGTGTTCTCTGAGCTTTATTATTTTCTTGCAGACATTTCACTACTAAACTCGATAACATCACCAGTGCTACAGTGAACACCAAGGGCCCAACAGTCCTCCTCCTCCTCCTCCTCTCTGTAAATCCCACTCCCAATGACCTAGTTGGGTCATGAAATGCTTGCAAGAAAACAATCAAACTCAGCACAAAGGAAGCCACAATGGATGAGAAGGAGGAAGAGCCACTTCCTCCTCTTCATCCTCCATTTTATCCTCATCTTCCCCGCTTCTCCTTCGCAAACCCCACTCCCTTCTAAGATGGAGGATATTGCCTAGTTGAGCAATGAAATGCCTGCAGGAAAACAACGAAGCTCAGAGAGCACCAAGGACCAGATAGCACCAAGGACCAATATTTATAGCTGAGCTATAAATATTCTCCTTTATCGGTCAGTGCACAAAGGATGCTTCTCTCATCTGTGGGTGCACAGTTTAGTCCTTCTCAAGGTGCCACCTTCCCAATCATCAGGGAATAAAACTGCTTGAAGTCCAAAAATAAGACAGCAGAGATCAATAAAAGAATATTTATAGCTCAGGGTTGAAAGGAGCTCTCTGAGCTGACTTGTTTTTTGGCAGATGTTTCATGACCCAACTAGGGAACATCAGTGCTCAAAGGGAGGAGGGTTTATGGAGAGGAGGAAGAGGAGGACTGAGGGGTCCTCAGTGCTTTCTGAGCTTGGTTATTTTCTTGCAGATGTTTCATGACCCAATACTGAATAGCCAAACCATTAGAAAATAAATTCAGAGCAAGCTCCACTCCCCACTATTTCTGATGATATAACCTAGTTGGGTCATGAAACATCTGCAAGAATAAGACCAAGCTCAGAGAGCACCAAGGACCGCTCCACACAAATGAAGTTGGCTAACTGAAGAACACATTTTAAACCCAATATGTGTGTGTGTGTGTGTGTGTGTGTGTGTGTGTATATATACACATACATACATACATACCCTGTTTCTCCAACAATACGGCCTCAACCAATAGGAAGTCCCAGCATGTTTTATAGGCATGAAATGAAATTAAGCCCCTCCCCCCAAATTAAGGCCTATATTAAAACATGTGAAATGGGGGGGGGAATGGTGGGGGGGCTTGCCGTTAGGAGGTACTTTTGTTGCACACCCGGATATGGTGCTGCCTGCGTTGACCCCGATATGAAATGCCCCACCAACGCTGAGATCAACATCCAAGCCATCGCTGCCCGCCCACCCAAAGATGCAAGGGGGGGGGGATTAAGTCACCCCCGAAAAGACAGCCTAGCCATTTTTTCGGGGCTCAAAAAAAAAATAAGACCCGGCCTTATTCTATGAGAAACATGGTGTGTGTGTGTGTGTGTGTGTGTGTGTGTGTGTATATGTATGTATGTATATATGTATGTGTGTGTGTGTATATATATATATACATACATATATATATTGATTTCTTCCCTGTCTTAAGGTTGTTCTAACCTTGTAGCTGCATGAGATCTATCTTTTACTTATGCATAAATAAAAAGATATTAATCGGCCTTCCCAGTTCAGATCTTATCTTGCAAAGGTCACACTCAACTAAAAATCTTGCAATGGTTTATAACTAACAGTTTATTCCTCATGGAGATGAAAGAACTGCACACACTTCTCCAGCCACTGCCATCCCTCCTCTTCTCCCCGCCCCCGCTCCTCTCAAAGAAGGATCTTGGAATATTTTTATTTATTTCTTTATTAAACCAATTTATCTAACTACCCAGCTTGCATGTAGGTGACTCCAGGCAGCCGAGAAAATGTAATTTCGTGTTTCGAAATAGTGTTTATTCTTATTTGGACTGATTTATATCGCTGGAAAGTTGCTTGAGGTGGATTTTTTTCCTGCAAAGTGAAATATAAACAAGTGTAATACATAAATATTTTATTTTCAGCATCCTGTTCTGCAGATACATTCACTCAGCCACTTTACATTTGGAAGGACTGTTTTCATTTTAACGTGCCTTGAATTTTCTTTCAGAATAAAAAGGCAGCATATAAATCGGGTTCTGCATTGTCCTTGTTTCTAGTGCGGGTCATCTTCAACTTATAACCACAATTGAGCCTCAAATTCCAGTTGATAAGTGAGACAATTATTACGTGAATTTTGCCCCATTTTACAACCATTCTTGCAGTTGTTAAATGAATCACTGCAGCTGTTAAATTGACTTTGCTTGTCAGAAAGTTGTAAAAGGGCATCACATGATCCAGGGATATTGAAACAATCATAAATATGAACCAGTTGCAAAGCATATGTTGCATGTTATGTGTTTGAATTTTGATCAGGTGACCATAGGGATGCTGCAACAGGTCATAAGAGTGAAAAACAGTCATAAATCACTTTTTCAGTGCATTGTAACTTCAAATGGTCACTAAACGAATGGTTAAGTGGACAACAATCTGTAGATGATCCAAACTTAAGCAGAGAATCGAGTCTATTTTTCTACCTCTATGTTTTTTTGCTGTTTCATCCCTGAAGCTTGCGCTGCGCATCATTCTACATTTTTTCTATCTCTCTCGAGAAGTCCTCCTCTTCCCCCCGACTTTATCAATCACAGGAGATGGGCGGGCTGGCGCATGCGCCCGGGAAAGGTACGCCCAGCTGTTTACGCCTCCGCGGCGCGTCCCCGCAGGCGATTGGCGGAGGCGGCACCTACGTAGTCGGAAGGCGGGACCGTGTGCGTGGACAGGGGGAAAAGGAAGACACGGAGTCCGGCAGGCCGCCGGGATGAGCCTCTGCGGTGGCCGGAGATCATGACCCAGCCGAGGCCGCCACAGCTGCATGACAACGCGGAGCGAGGTATGTAGGCGGGCCCGAGCTGGACCGCCCGCCGGTTGGCGATCTCGGGAGACCCGCGAGGCCTTCTCCCTCTGAGGGAAAAGTTGATGCTGCGGTGAGGGAAAGGGAAGGGGGCGTGGCCGCGCGGAGGCCCCGCCTTTCTTATCCTCTGACGGAGCCGAGGCAGCCAATCAGAAGAGACGGCACTGGCCAGAGGCGGCCAATGAGGGACTTGTTTGGCCCCCTCCTTGACCCCCCCCCCCAGGCAGACAAGGCGAACAATTGGGCGAGCGTCTCGCCTGGGTTAAAATTAGAATTAGAATAGAATAAGCTGGAAGGGACCTTGGAGGTCTTCTAGTCCAACCCCCTGCTCTAGCAGGAGACCGTAAGCCATTTCGGACATATGGCTGTCCGGGGTTAGGGTTATAGGGTCACAGCCTGGTTGTGGTTGTGGTGAAAATAGGCGGAAGGCATTTCCGATATTGGCTGCCTTGAGTTATTGTAAAGAAATAATCGTGTGTGTGCTTGTGTATCTGCACGTACTCCTCAATTTACAACATGTAGTAACACACATAGTCAACATTCAACATATAGTAACACATGTAGTCATCAACTTACAACATGTAGTAACACATTAGCTTACAACATGTAGTAACACACAGTCCTTGACTTACTACATGTAGTAACACATCCTCCACTTACAACACATAGTAACAGACATAGACCTCAACTTACAATACGTAACATGTCCTCAACCTACAACATCTAGTAACACTGTCCTCAACTTACAACATGTAGTAACACTCAGTCCTCAGCTTACAACATGTATAACACACAATCCTCAATTTACAACACATAACATGCCTATCCTCAACTTACATGTAACACACGTAGTCCTTGACTTATAACACATAGTAACGTCCTCCACTTACAACACATAGTAGCACATGTAACACACGTCAACCTACAACATGTAACACACTCATAGTCCTCAACTTAGAACATGTAGTAACAGTCTTCAACTTACAACATGTGTAACACACACATAGTCCTCAGTTTACAACACATAGTAACACACGTCCTCAATTTACAACATGTAATAACACACACTCATAGTCCTCTACTTACATCGTGTAGTAACACACCCATGGTCCTCAACTTATAACACGTAACACACACACATAGTCTTACAACAGCTCATTTACTGACCATTCAAAGCTACAAGGGCGTTGATAAAAGTGACTTATGACCATATTTCACACTTACGGCCATGGCAGCATCCCCACAGTCATGTGATCCAAATTCAGACGCTTGGGCAACTGACTTGCATTTATGACAGTTGCAGTATCCCAGGGTCATGCAATCCCATTTTATGACCTGACAAAGTCAATGGGGAATTCAGATTCACTTAACAACTGTGTCACTCAGTTAACAACTGTAGTGATTCACTTTACAACCATGGCAAGAAAGGTAGTAACATGAGGCAAAATTCATTTAAATGTTTCACTTAACAGTAGAAATTTTGGACTCAATTCTGCTCATAAGTGGTGAACTATGTGTATGTATGTACCTCTCTGTGTGTGTATACGGTATATACTGTTTTCTCAAGTTTTCGCGGGTACTTACATGTGTTATGTCTCCTCTTGGAAATTCAAACGAACAAACATAAAGCAGCCGTTTTACAATCAAATCAAACTGAAGGAAATAACAAGATAACGACTGGCAGAAACTGTTAGGACTCCCCTTCGAAATTCAAACAAACAGAGAGCTCTTTGATGTAACGTCCTCATTCAAAATAGTCATTTTGTTTCTGGCGAAAAGCACCAGCTCAGCTGTGTCCTTTTATACCCATTAAGGCAACGTGCTAATTAACTGGCTTGCCCTTCAGATTAACGTTTCCTGGTTCTGACATCAATCCACGATCTAACAGTCATCAGAGTCAAAACTCCCAACAGGACCGATCCTTCCAATCACAACATACATGTATGGCATTCAGCTTTGTTCAGGTATTTTCACACGTCATTGTAGTTGTGCTTTTAAAGTTGTAGCAACGTTTCCGCAGAATCTCATCTGCCATCATCAGGCTTCTGTATAGTGTTCATCTGTGAGTCAGACTTTCACAGCCATTTCTGTTTTAAATTTGGGGCTAGCCTACTGCTGTGCCAGAATGTTTTTTTTCTTCATCCTGATTGCTTGGGAGTCTTGGTCTGTGTTTATTGGTCTTGGAGTTTGCTGTGTTCTGCTTGATTGGTGTTTCTAATATCTTCTGTCTGTTTTGTAGCATTTTTTGATTGGATGGCAACATTGTGTTTCCTGTATTGGAGGCTTTTAGTGCAGCTTGGCTCCGAGTAAATGGACGGCTATCATTTGTTAGGAAGCTAGGTTTCATCTGGGTGCCTGGTTGGGGTGTGTTTGAACTGGAGGTATCAGGGGGGATCTGTCTGTGCCCAGGTGTTTGCCTGGCTTGTGGCGTGGAGATTTTTTTGTTTGTGAGTGCAGGCTTCCAGATAACTGACAGTCTGGTGGAATCATCTCTTCTGTTCATGCTTTCAGGTCTTTTTTCAATCTCCATAGCTTCTCTGATAATTCTGTAGCTGGAGTTTTCTATAGTGGCTAGGGTTTTGGTGCCATTGAAGTCGGTGCTATGACCTGTGACTTTCATGTGTTGGACTAGTGAGGAAGTGTGTTCCAGCTTTTTTACTGCATTTTTGTGTTCACCCAGGCGGGTACTTATTCTTCTTATTGGTCTGTCCAATGTATGTGGCCGGGCATGATGCACAGGGGACTTCATATATGCCTTGGTTTTCCAGGTCAATTTTATCTTTGGGGTTTCTAAGGATGGCTGCTATTTTTCTGTCTGTTTTGAAGGCAGTCTTGATGTGATGCCTGTGTAGTATCTTATTGATTTTGTCTGTAGTACGTACCTCTTATGTAGGGCAGGACAGCTGTTCCATAGGTCTGTTCATCTTCTGGGTCTCCATTATGTCTCAGTGTGTTTTTGTGGATCAAGCCAGTGATTTTGCTTTTGTGGAAGCCGTTGGCTGTCAATACTTTAGTCAGGGTGCATAGTTCAGTCTTTATGTGTGTCTTATCTGCAAGTAGTGTTTTGGCCACAGAGTTTATCTGTGCTGGGTGGTGGTGGGATTGGGCGTTGAGGTAGCAGTTGGTATGTGTTTTCTTCTGGTATATGGTGTGTCCTAGTGTGCCATCTGTTTTTTTGTAGATTAGTACATCTAGGAATGGTAGTTGTTTGTTTCCGTTTCCATGGTGAACTTGATTTTGGGGTGTGTGTTGTTTAGGTGTGTTAGGAAATTGTTTAGGTTTTCTTTTCCATGGGGCCAAATCACAAACGTGTCATCGATGTATCTTAACCATAGTTTGGGTTTGTGGGTGGCATTAGCCAGGGCTCTGGATTCGAATTCTTCCATGAACAGGTTTGCAATGACGGGTGACAGTGGTGATCCCATAGGGGCTCCTTCAATTTGCTTGTATCTTTGTCCTTTGTATATGAAATATGTGTTGGTTAAGCAGTGTTCTGTTAGTTCCATGAGGTGTTTAGCTGGTTGCTATTTATTTTTGATGATTTCAAGAGTTTCTTTTATCGGGACTTGAGTGAATAGTGAAACCACGTTGAAACTTACAAGCAGATCTTCTTGTTCCACGTGTAGCTGCTGTTTCAGCATGGGGCTGTAGCTGTTTTGCTAAGTGTTTAGCTAGGTTTTGTAGTGGTGCTCCTCTGGAGCTGACTATGGGTCTGAGAGGTATGCCTTCTTTGTGTATTTTTGGGAGGCTGTATAGTTTGGGGCATCTGGAAGATTTTTCTCTTGGGATGATCGTCTGTTGGATTTCTTTGCTCATGTGGCTGGTTATAATTTTCTTCTTGGTTAATTTTTCCAGATATGTGGTTGGGTCCATGTTTATGGGTTTGTATGTGGAGTCTTAGAGTAGGTCTGTCAATTTTGTTTCGTAGTCTTTTCTATCCATTACTACTGTGGCATTCCCTTTGTCTGCTGGAAGTATGATTGTGCTGCTGTCCTTTTTTAGGGCTTGCAGCGCTTTTAGTTCTTTGTGCAAGTTGCTTTTGGGTGGTTTGCTTGTGCACAGGATGTTAGTAACTTGGTGTCTTATTCTATCAGCTTCATCTGTATTTAAATTAGTTAGGCTGGATTCTACTGCACGTATGATGGATTCTGTGGGGATTTTTGGGGGTGCTATAGCATATATACATATACATATATGTTGTGGCTCCAGGCTTGGATTCAGCTCCTGTGACTGATATGAGTTCAAGTGAGGAGGACATGGGAGAAAAATATGAGCCGGCATGGATCAGTGATTGGACTGATAACCAGGATGAGGAGATGGACGTGACAAAGGACGACAGACCTGATGTATTAGAATTGTCAGGACCTTTGACCTCCTCTGGTTCCTTATCTGATCAACAGCCGGGAATGGCTGACAGGGAAGTTTTGAGAGAGTCTTCTAGTGGAGATGAGAACTTGGAAAATTTGTAGTTAAATGTAAGGAACAGAAGTCGTTTGAGAAGGCAAAATCAGCTGGGACGAAGGAGGAGGGCGAGTCAGTAAATTAGCACCTTGCCTCAATGAGTATAAAAGGACACAGCTGGGCTGGTACATTTTGCCAGGAACAAAGTGACTTATTTGAGTGAGGACGTTACAACAAGAAGCTCTGAGACTGGAGATTTATTGCCAGGACTGGTTTGCCGGACAGAGTAAAGATTTATGCTGTGAGGTTTCTGCCAGCCGTTATCTTGTAAGACTTCTTTCCGTTGGATTTAATTTTGAAACGGCTGCTTTCTGTTTTGTTCGTTGGAATTTTGAAGGGGAGTCATAACACATATACATATACATATACATATACATACATACATACATACATACATATACTGTTGTATATATTTATGTGTATGCGTCTGTGTTTACACATGTACAGATACCCATGCACACATACCCATGCATTTAATATATACTTTGTGATTTCCTCCTGTTCTTTTCTTTTCTGCC